GTATATTCCCAAGAGTGGAATTGCTGGGTCCTGAGGGAGATTGACTCCCAGTTTCCTGAGAAACCGCCACACTGATTTCCACAGTGACTGCATAAGTTTGCATTCCCACCAACATTGGATAAGTGTTCCCCTCACTCCACATCCTCTCCAGCATAGGCAATCGTTGGTGTTTCTGACTTTAGCTATTCTGACAGGTGTAAGATGGTATCTCAAAGTGGTTTTGATTTGCATTTCCCTGATCGCTAAGGATGCTGAGCATAACCATAAGTGTCTTTTGGCCATTCGAAGTTCATCTGTTGTGAATTCTATGTTCAGTTCAGTACCCCATTTTCTAATTGGGTTATTTAGAGTTTTAGTGTCTAGTTTCTTGAGTTCTTTGTATATTTTGGAGATCAGACCTTTGTCTGATGAGGGGTTGGTGAAGATCTTCTCCCAGTTAGAAGGCAGCCTTTTTGTCTTACTGACAGTGTCCTTTGCTTTACAGAAGCTTCTCAGTTTCAGTAGGTCCCATTTATTCATTGTTTCTCTTATTGTCTGTGCTACTGGGGTCCTACTTTGGAAGAGGCCTCCTGTGTCTATATCTTGTAGACTACTTCCCACTTTCTCTTCTATCAGGTTCAAAATGGACAGATTAATGTTGATATCTTTAATGCATTTGGACTTGATTTTTGTGCATGGTGATAGATATGGATCTACTTTCATTCTTCTACAGGTTGACATCAAGCTATGCCAGCACCATTTGTTAAAGATGCTTTCCTTCTTCCATTGTATACCTTTAGCTCCCTTGTCGAAAATTAGGTGTTCATAGGTTTGTGGGTTAATATCTGGGTCTATTCGATTCCATAGGTCGACTTCTCTGTTCTTATGCCAATACCAAGCTGTTTTCAATACTGTAGCTCTGTAATAGAGTTTGAAGTCAGGGATGGTAATGCGTCCAGAAGTTCCTTTATTATATAAGATTGTTTTGGCTATTCTGGGTTTTTTGTTTTTCCATATAAAGTTGATTATTGTTCTCTCAAGGTCTGTGAAGAAGTTTGATGGTATTTTGATGGGGATTACATTGAATCTATAGATTGCTTTTGGTAGAATTGCCATTTTTACTATGTTGATTCTCCCAATCCAAGAGCAGGGGAGATCTTTCCATTTTCTGGTATCCTCCTCAATTTCTTTCTTCAAAGACTTAAAGTTCTTGTCAAATAGGTCTTTCACTTCCTTGGTTATAGTAACCCCAAGATATGTTATGCTATTTGTGGTTATTGTGAAAGGTGATGTTTCTCTGATTTCCCTCTCTGCTTCTTTATCCTTTGTGTATAGGAGGGCAACTGATTTTTTGGAGTTGATCTTGTATCCTGCCACATTACTAAAGGTGTTTATCGACTGTAGGAGTTCTTTGGTAGAGTTTTTGGGGTCGCTTATGTACACTATCATATCGTCTGCAAATAACGAAAGTTTCACTTCATCCTTTCCAATTCGAATCCCCTTGATCTCCTTATGTTGTCTTATTGCTATTGCTAGAACTTCAAGCACTATATTGAAGAGGTATGGAGAGAGTGGACAGCCTTGTCGTGTTCCTGATTTTAGTGGAAAGGCTTTGAGTTTCTCTCCATTCAATTTGATGTTAGCTGTTGGCTTGCTGTATATTGCTTTTATTATATTTAGGTATGATCCTTGTATCTCCAGTCTCTCCAACACCTTTATCATAAATGGGTGTTGAATTTTATCAAATGCTTTTTCAGCATCCAATGAAATGTTCATATGGTTTTTTTCTTTCAGTTTATTTATATGATGGATTACATTGATAGATTTGCGTATGTTGAACCAGCCCTGCATCTCTGGGATGAAGCCTACTTGATCATAATGGATAATTTTTCTAATGTGTTCTTGGATTCGGTTTGCCAGTATTTTATTGAGAATTTTCGCGTCGATGTTCATGAGTGAGATTGGCTTGTAATTCTCTTTCTTGGTTGTGTCTTTGTGTGGTTTTGGTATTAGGGTAACTGTAGCTTCATAAAAGGAGTTTGGCAAGAACTCTTCTGTTTCTATATTGTGGAATACATTAAGGAGTATAGGTATTAGCTCTTCCTGGAAGTTCTGGTAGAATTCTGCATTGAAACCATCTGGTCCTGGGCTTTTTTTGGTAGAGAGATTTTTGATAACAGCTTCTAATTCTTCACGACTAACAGGTCTATTTAGATTGTTCACCTGTTCTTGGTTCAACTTTGGTATATGATACTTATCTAAAAAAATGTCCATTTCTTTTACATTTTCCAACTTTGTGGCATATAAGCTTTCGTAGTAAGATCTAATGATTCTCTGAATTTCCTCTGTGTCTGTGGTTATGTCCCCCTTTTCATTTCTGATCCTATTAATTTGCATGTTCTCTCTCTGCCGTTTGGAGGATTTTAAGCCCCGAAAAAGGGAGAGAGGAAGGGTAGGGGTTCCAGGCAGAAAGCCGGGATGGGGTAGGAGGCCCAGGCAGTGTTTTAATGAATACAATTTGTGTGTTGTTATTTTGAGGCATAAGCTAACCAGGTGGCTGGCTGGGAGCCAGGCAGTAGGAAGTGGCCCACTGCTCCTTTTACAACAGGTATAGACAATTCATAATGGTATATACTCTTGTATATTGACACAGAGGAAAAATTAACTTTGTATTCCTTCTAAGATAATTTGTACATTGATAAAGATTCGAATTTATGTTTGTTATATTGAATATGCTTCTATTTCTGCTTACAATATTTGTGCACCTATGCAGAGTTATTTTGTCATATTTCATGCATGCATGTTAATACCTCTGCTTAACATACTTTGTGTATTGATGCAATTTTAGGATATATTTATCATATTGCACTACACCTTCCTACATCTGATAAAGATACTTATATATATATATATATTGTTTGCATTTTGAGGTCATTGTCCTCATTTGCTACATATCTGCTTAAATATTGTTTAATTATATAATGTGAAGTCTTAGTCTTTAAACTATATATGTTTTAAGAATTAAAAGTCAAAATTCATCCAAGTTTGTCATACTTATAGTTAGGCTAATCAGGTTCTCTAGGTTCAGATTGTTTTCTTCATAGATAGGTTATGTTCAAACACATCAAAGAACTGTATAATATGGCATTTAAATAACTCAATATTCTGTTGACATGAGACATGATTGCTTCTGGAAGCACCATTCTGAGAGAATGTTGAGCACCAACGACACTCCACTTGGAGCTTGTTTTCTTCTTGGCAAAACTGCCCTTTGGGCAAAGAACTGCCCTTGCCTTCACCACTGAAAAAGTACATGCTGTCTAAACTGGACAAGCAAGATACAGACAAAAATTACTGCCGAATCTTGCCAAGATGGAGGACAGTCTTGAATATTCCTGTTCTGAAAATGGTCTGTCACTTATGCTAGGCCTTAGCCAAAGCTGATTGCCCCAATGTTTCACAGGAGACTTTGGGTTATTGCCAAGGTATCCAAAGCTGTCCCTGTCATTTATTGCACCTTCTGAAAGTAGCTTGCTTGCAATTTTGAGTCTGCTTACTCAGATAATATTATTTTCCTTCTCAGGTCTCTGATGGGGTTGAAGATTAGATAGTCATAGGTACTCTATTCTTCTCTCATAACTTATCTAAGACATTTTCAATGTAAGACTTAGATGCCTCAGTATAGGACATCTATTGAAGTATTCTCTGTTATTTGCTAATTATCTTAGACTAATCAGACATTTAACATGTGTTTCTTGCTTGATGTTGTTCATGTTAATTTTAGTTCTATTTTTGTATATGTTTTTGCCTTTTCTTTTTCCTGGACAATACTTGATATTTGTTCTTATTGTATATAGTTTCTTTAGGTTTAGAACACTCTTATTTAGACAAAAGGGGGAGGTGTTGTGGAAATTTATTCAGTTAATAGCTTTTTGGATACTTGCATGGTCTGAAGTATTATAAGAGCAGTCAGAAAACATGTTCGTGTTCTCTCTTGGTTGGTAGTTGGAGTTGGGTTCACAGCTTCCAGCAATGACAGAGGACTATGACTCTCTACACTTATTGTGAGTTTTTCCCCAAATAAATAAATAAATAAATACTTGTTCTCCTTTATTCCTGATTCTTTTGGACCTTCATAATTACACCTACATGAAACTTTGTGATGAATACTATATTACCTAGCTTAAAGAAGCTGTCACAGGGTGTAAAATACACCACATCTAAAAATATCAGAAATTAATACCATCAGTTATTTACTGCCTGATCAGCATTGGGATTATACCAAAAATTGTCAAAGGAAAGACACCACTGGTCTAAGTTACTAAGATGGAAATCAGAAATAAAAAGGAAGAGAAAAGCATCAGTTGACCAATCACATGGTTTGTTGCATAGAGAGTCAGGGAATCTAAAATGTAACAGAGTTCAACAACCAAAACATAATGTCCTTTGTCAGTGAAAATAAAGAGAACTTATACAGTCACATTTCAAACTATTAAGTTTCCAAGAGGTTTATTATACATGCTTATTTCTTTCCAGATGTGGTCATGCACTAGTTCAGCCTCAGAAAATTGGTCCCTTACATGAGGGGGCTGGCTTGTTGGGGTTTCTGTCCTGCCTAGTACCCCACAGCTGGCAAGTCCCAAAGAAAATCACAGAGTCTATATTAAGTTATAAACTGATTGGCCCATTAGCTCAGTCTTCTTATTGACTAATTCTTACATCTTATGGTAACCCATAATTCTTGTCTGTTAAGCCATGTTAGCCATGTAGCTTAGTACCTTTTCCAGCAGAGCAGGTTACATCTTGCTTCTCTGTGGTCTGGGCAGGAATGGAGGAATGAGCTTCCTCCTTCCTAGACTTCTCCTGTTCTCATCCCCCTGCCTCTACTTCCTGCCTGGTTGACCCGCCTATACTTCCTGCCTGGCCAATGAACGTTTTATTAAAATACATGATTGACAGAATACAGATAATTCTCCCATACCACCTTCCTTCCACCTTGTGGTTCTAGGATATCAAGCTCATCATACCATATCAATTTTGCTCCTACCATGTATTTTGTCCCTGATGTGATGAAGTGAGTTTCTATCTGGCCTGAACAAAATAATATAGCACTTAGGGGCAAAGATTAGACAGAGAATGCCTGCACTAGAAGCCAAGATAGAAAAGATTTCCACAGACACCATAACCCTCCCCTTGGTGCTGTGGTAGACAGGGAGGAAAGTGACCCACACACTGCAGAAAACAAGCATGCTGATAGACAGAAACTTGGCTTCATTAAATGTGTCAGGCAGGTTTCTGCACAAGAAAGCCATGAAGTAACTACCAAAGGCCATGACTCCCAGGTATGCTAGACTGCAGTAGAAGGCAATAGCTGAGCCCTTGTTGCATAGAATGATGATGTGTCCATGTTCAGAATGAGCATCTATGTCAATAAATGGAGGAGATGTTCCCAGCCATATTCCAGATAGAAGAACTTGCATTAGGGTGCAAACTGGAATGATGAAGTTAGGGGCCTGCAAGATTAGTAGCCATCTTGTCCTTCTCTTTGGAGCAGTAATCTGGAAGGCCATAACTACAGTGATGGTTTTGGCCAACACAGTGGAGAGAACCACAGTAAAAAGAAGTCCAAATAAGCTCTGCTGCAGGATACAGGTTGCAGTGTTGGGAAGGCCAATGAAGAGCAAAGGACAGAGGAAACAGAGCATAAGAGTGATGAGCAGGATGTAACTGAGAAATCTATTATTGGCCCTGACAATTGGTGTGTCTCTGTGGTTCACAAAGACCCCAATAACAACAGCTGTGAGTGCAAAGAATACCAGTGAGATGATAGTGAGTCCCTTCCCCAAGGGATCATCATAATTCAGAAAGGTCATAGTTTTCTGGAGGCACTGTGTCTTCTCTGCATTTGCATAGTGAGTTTCTGGACATTTCACACATTGACCCATACCTGGAAGAAACAGAGTTGATCATGAATGTATGGTCAAGTTTTCTCTTTACCCTAACACATTCAAAGTACCATCTCATTGCATTGTTATCACAACCATGTTCCTTGTTATTTAGGCAAAATTAAGTGAGTACTCTGAGGTGAATAATCCCACAAGTTAGAATTTCTACTTCTTTCAAACAATTCCAAGATCAATAGCAACTTGGTTGATGAAGGAAATCCTTCACATTACAGTGCAAAGGAGCTCCAGTCAAAAACTGGAGCTGAGTCCATGCTGATGTGATATTTCCTGATCAGCCTCTACTGTCTTGCTGAACCTGCTTTGATATACAGCTCAGAATCAGCTTCTCAGGTATGGCTCCACACACAGTGGTTTCTTCCAGCCCAGAGAAACCTCTAGTCAAGAATATGTTCAAGAGGCTTGGCTACAGGCCAGCCATTAGAGGCATTTTAATAAGTGTGGTACCCTTTTGTCCCATAAATTGAGCTTTTGCAAAGTCAATAAAGAAAATGTCCAACACACTACATTTCTTGAGTCCATTTCTTTCAGCTGTATATTAAATTATTAATTTTTCCTCTGTTTTTACTGAAGAGTTTTATTTTTATTTTGTCATATTGTTAAAAGTGACATATTAATCATGAGAATACAAAATCACACTTCCCAAACAATTCAGTCCTTATATTATTTCTCAAAAATATTCCTTAATTTCTGATAGATCAATTTTAATAATAGTGATGTACTTTACTTTTTAAAATTATGGTGGTCACAACCATAAGACACACATTTACTTTTATTTATAAATTCCTCTTGGTTTGAACATTTATTTTCATCTGGATTTTGAAATATCTTGGATATCATTAAATATGTGTTCAAAACTTTTATTATCTTTATCTCCTTCCCCTTTTGTATTTTGTTACATGGAGGTTTCACATATGCAAGTGTCAGCAAAAAAATAATCCGGACTTGATTCCCCGCCTTCTGGGTTCTCAGGTAAAATTTGGGTTGTTTGGTAGTTTTTAAGCCTCTTGACATGTTGAGACAATTCCATGGATATTAAATTACTAATGTTTTGAAACTCATTTTGGAATGAAATATTTATTTAGCAGTTCAATTTAGATTTAATCTTCCTACAACAGATTTTTAAAGGCTCTCTGAATAAATATTTATTATTCAAACTCAGAAGCAATAACATATATCCACTTATTGTTATTTAAAGGTACATATCATGCAGGATAAAATTGTCAATATTTCAATATTGTCAACATTTCTTTTTCAACATATGTTTTTAGTTTGTTTTACTTTTGTTCAGAAAATAAATGGAGAGTTGGAGAGAGGACTCAGTGGATAAAAGTATTTGTTGCTCTTCTACAGAACATAAGTTTGAATCCCAGCACTCCTGTCCCAAGGGATACAGGGCTCTCTGCTAAATCAGGCATACATGCAATACACAGATCTCAAGCATCTGTGTGCATGTTGTATCTTGCTTATCTTTTCTTATACTGTCCTGTCACACTAGTTTGATGCAGAAGCTTTGTTAACCAATTATCTTTAAGAGGTGGGAGCAAGTTAGGGTGTGGCTTTCTGGAACCTGGAGAAAAATGGGTACATGGCCCAGGTCCTCTCTCTCTCTGTGGTTCCCTCAAAGCACAGCTGAGCTTGAACTTCTTATTCCTGTTTCATGAGTTTTCCCCTTATAATAAATAAAAAATATAATTGTTTTATCTTTTAGCTAGCCTGGTTATTTCCTAAATCAAGCTAATTTCTACAGCTGGCTCTCAAATCATGGAGCTTGGGTCTCCAGTGGCTCTAGCCAGCTGCCCTCAGGCTCCACACCATTCATTTGTGTATAGAATTCCCACACAATGGCCCTGAGTAGGTGCTAGATGTGGTCCTCCATATTTTCTCATTAAATATCCCAACTGGGTCCAGTTTTTTTCTGTGCCACAGAAATTCAGACAGGATGTGGGCTTTTCCAGGCTTCCCCAGGTGCCTCTGTTTGGCATTGCTACCTTGCTATTCTTTGTGCTTGTGTGGCTGCTGATCAATCAGGGACCTCCATGGAGCACAAAGTCTGTGATTTACACTAAATAACTGTTTTTAATCTGAATATATCTTTCAGAGTTTAATGTTAAAATCAGATTCAAACTGACCATGTGGCTACAAGAACACTGCAACACCTACTGGCATGTGATGGTTATTGCACCTACTTCATCGCAAACTCGACCACAAGTAAGATTTCTAATTTAAAATATAAATTATGAATTTATGATTTAAAAGGACAAGATGACAGATAATTTAACAATATAGGACTTCAATAGCTTTTTTATATACCACTTTTGAAACTCCTTTGGGGGCCTTGCGCAGACCCTTATGACAAATGTGCTCCAATTATTCCCAGTTACTGTGGAGAATGTGTCTCACCAGGAAAATTAAAAAAATCCAGTGCCTACTATAAAAAAATATATGGGTTATAACCCCAGTAGCACAGACACTAAGAGAAACAATTGATAAATGGCACCTCCTGAAACTGAAAAGCTTCTGTAAAGCAAAGGACATGGTCAACAAGACAAAACAACAGCCTACAAAACGGGAAGAACTCTTCACCAACCTCACATTAGAGAGGGGTCTGATCTCCAAAATATACAAAGAACTCAAAAAATTGATCATCAAAAGAACAAATAATCCAATAAAAAATGGAGTACAAACCTAAACAGAGAACTCTCAACAGAGGACTAAAATGGCTCAAAGAAACTTAAGAAAGTGCTCAACATCCTTAGCTATCAGAGAAATGCAAATCAAAACAACTCTGAGATTGCATCTTACACCTATAAGAATGATCAAGATCAAAAGCACTGATGACAACTTATGCTGGAGAGGTTGTGGGGTAAAGGGAACATTTCTGCATTGCTGATGTAGTGCAAGCTGGTACAGCCTCTTAGGATGTCGGTGTGGTGATTTCTCAGAAAATTAGGAAACAACCTTCCTCAAGACACAGTAATACCACTTTAAGGTATAAATCCAAAGGATACTCAGTTGTGCCACAAGGACATGTGCTCAAATATGTTCATAGCAGCATTGTTTGTCATATCCAGAACCTGGAAACAACCTAAATGCCCCTCAACCAAAGAATGGACAAGGAAAATGTGGTACATTTGCACAATGAAATACTACACATCAGAAAAACCCTGGCATTTTGAATTTTTCAGGCAAACAAATGGAGCTAGAAAACATCATTTTGAGTGAGGTAATCCAGACCCAGAAAGACAAGTATCACATGTACTCACTCAAAAGTGGTTTTAAAACATATAGCAAGGAGAACCAGACTACAAATCACAATCCCAGAGAACCAAGGCAACGATGAGGACCTTAAGAGAGACATACATAGATCTAATCTACATGAGAAGTAGAAAATGACAAGATATCCTGAGTAAATTGGGAGCATGGTTACTTTGGGAGAAGGTTGTAGGGGAGGGGAGAGTCAGGGAGGGGAGCAGAGAAAAATGTAGAGCTCAATAAAAATCAATAAAATTAAATAAATGAAAAACCCATACTGGTCTTGATGATGGAATAGATGTGGAGGATCAATCAAAGACTCCAGTAGGACATAGAAAATGTATATTCTGGTAGACTTCTATAAATGATCAAAGAACAAAGCTAAGAGTGTATAAATGGCATTTTTATTGAAGGCTTATTAAACATGTGTGCATATGTAAGTATCATTACCCCCAAATCTTGGCATCCACATTGGCCTTTTCAAGAGGTAGATGTTCAGTTCCTAAGACTTCGAACCCTATCTCAAGTGAAACAAAGCACAAGATGGGTCAAATGCAGAGAGCCAGAAGGACAGAGAAGAAGGCTGAGGCCATAGGTAGCTTTTATTGCAGGGAATTTGTGGGGTTATGACCTATTATAGCAATAGAATACCCAGATTAACATTCTTGCAGCCCAAAAACTTATGCTTCTGGGAAAGATATTAGAAAATATTATAGACAAAGGTCACCAGCCATTCAGGCTGTACAAGAACACAAAACCATTGACAAACCTTCAGAGGCACTAACAGCCCTGCCTTTAAAATGGTTAACTGAAAAACCAATATGGGTTAAAAAGTGGCCTCTAGTTGAGGAAAAGTTGCAGGATTTAGAACAGCTGGTATAACAGCAACTAGATGCTCACTGTATCGAAGAATCTATCAGCCATTTAAATTCCCCTGTATTTGTTGTTTAAAAAGAAATCTGGAAAATGGAGAATGGTGACAGACCTTAGAGCTATAAACAAGGTTATTAAGCCTATGAACCCTCTACAATCTGGATTTCCTTTGCCTTCTCTGTTACCAAAAGGGTGGCCTCTCATAGATATTGATTTAAAGGATTGTTTCTTCACTATACCTTTACAAGAAAAGTATAGGGAGAAATTTGCCTTCACAGTGACTACTTATAATAATTTTCAATCCTTCCACAGGGAATGCTCAATAGCCCTACCCTGTGCCAATACTTTGTAAACCAGCCATTGGAATAATTCATAAGGAATCTCCTAAGTCTATAATCTACCATTACATGGATGACATTTTGTTATCTGATTCAAATGCAGATACTTTAGAAAAAATGTTTGAAGAAGAAAAGAAAGTTCCATATAAATGGGGATTACAAATTGTTCCTGAAAAGATTCAAAGAGGAGATTCTGTTAATTACTTAGGTTACAGAATAGGTTTGCAGAAATTTAGAACACAAAAGGCACAAATTAAGAGAGACTGGTTGCAGACTCTTAATGCCTTCTAAAGATTGTTAGGAGACATTTCCAGTCTATGAATGGCTATTGTGATAACACCTGATCTAATAATTTATTTAAACAAAACTTTAGATGGAGACAAAAACTTAAATAGTCCCAGAGAATTAACAGCAGAAGTGGAAAAGGAATTTATGATTGTTGAGGAGAAATTACAGGAGGTACATGTGGATAGGATGAATAAAAATCTTAATTGTATTCTAGTCATATTGCCTTCCAG